GCTGCATTTGAAAGGCACCAAAAGCAAGCACCCTGAGACATGCCAAAGGCCTCGCTGCTCCTGCAATGCTATGGCTCCAGTCCAGGAATTCCAGGCCAACAGGGGGGGGCCTTTTGATGCTCCTTTCCAACGAAGCACCAAGAAACACCATCAAAGGCTGTCAGCCAGTCTCCGTGTTTAAACAGAACAATGAATGATTTGTTACTTCTTCTCCCCAACAAAAGATGACAGGAAACCAATGATGATGATGATGATGATGATGATGATGATGATGATGATGATGATGATGATGATGATGATGATGATGATGATGATGATGATGATGATGATGATGATGATTCTGATGCTGATGATGATGATGATGATGATGATGATGATGATGATGATGATGATGATGATGATGATGATGATGACGGTGGTGGGGGTGATGATGATGATCTACTGAATCCCGTTCCTTTGCCTGTTGAGGCCGGGCAGGAGGTTGATGACCCATCAATGCCTTCTCCTTAGCCAAGCAGGACAAGGCTTCAGAATTGTGCCCTCAGCAAAGAAGTTCCTAGATAGGCAAATGCCAGCAGCTGAGAAAAGCGCCAGCCGGTTCCTGGCTGCTCGCACTTGATCCTCAGTTAGCCCCCACACACACGCGCATTCTCTCTTTGGCACACGCACATTTATGACTGTCATGTTCTTGCCAATTTAGTCTGGCGTCTCTGGCAAGCTGGCAGGGTGGCTTCCTTCTTGTGCCAACCTCATTCTGGTTCTGAATGATGTAGAGGTTGTTCACATACATGGCTGAAAAGCTGCCACAGCCAACGGCCCTTGAGCCTACACCTGCTGCATCACAGAGATCAAGCAACTTGCTTGCAGCAGCCCTGAACCACAACTGCAACCACATCTTGCTGGCAAATCCAAGAAAATCAAGAGGCATCAGGCTGTAAGAGAAGTGCAAGATTGCAGGGGGGAGCTAACGATACAGAGCTTGCCAAAGGATGACGGCATTCACAATGGCACATGAGTTTTGATGAAAAGATAGCCCCTTACTGTTACCAGCAATTGTTCCTTGTCAAGACATATAGAACCCCCTGCAATAACATACACCCAAAATCAAGGCGCTTGGAATGCAAGGCGCTGTCGGCTGGCTTGTCTGGGCCCAAGGCAGGTTGGATGTCCTGGCACACCTCCAAGGGCAGCAGGCCTCAGCCAGAAAGCGGCCAGGGTGAGAGGCAGTGAGTCAGGGTTCCCTGCACCAAACGGGCTGGGTAGCAACTTACAGTTACATCAACTCAGGATTAGCTCACAAAGCATGTTCAGTGCACTGAGGATGGTCTGAGGCACCAACAGGCAAGCAACCTGAGCATGGCTGATGGAACCCCTCATGAAGAGGCTAGGGTGGGTTGCAGCCATGCCTTGGAAAGCCAAGGCATGGAGGGGCAAGGGTAAAGGATAGCTTGGTAGGTCAGGGGAGCTCAAGCTTCTGATTGCAGAAGCACTAGGCCAAACAGCATTTTGTTGTTGACATCAACGCTCCATTGGAATATGTTTTTGCAGCCATTTCACAATGACAGATTGTTTATGGACCAGCCCATGGGTACTGTCAGAATTTGAGCCTTGGCTGGGTGGCAGAAAAGCAGGTCAGACATCTCACCTGTGGGCTTGAACGTTTTCTGGTTGGAAACAGCTGCCATCAACCACACACACAGAGTGTTCCCTGATTATCCACTGGGTTGTCCCTGCATCTTTGGTGCTGATTGAATTTCTTGGGCGGGACACTCCAAGACATGAGGAGCAATGAGTGCCCTGAGGGCTTAGCAAAGTTCCAGAGAAACAGTTGGCAGTTTCAAAATGCCTTGTGCAATACTGGAGGCTACCCAAATTCAGCAGTGGCCAGAACAGTACATTGCATTCACTTAGTGCTGTTTGGAATGGCATGTTAGCCCAGCCCTCTGCCCAGCCAGCCTTTGCACTGCCTAGAAAGCTGTGTGCAGACCTCAGTCAGACCTCAGTCAGTGTCTGAACCTTAGTATGCAGCAGGCTCCGCTCTGCTGGGACCTTAGTGAACTAAGCCTTAGTATTGCAGGGTTTGAGCCTTAGTGTCCTGCCTTTTTGCGGCTGCTTTTATGGTTGACGGCAAGTGTGCAAATGCAGCATGGCTGCAAGTGAAAGCATAGAGCTGACTGAAGCTTCATTTCAATTTGACTTTTGGTGCTATGGTCAAATGGAAACTTAGGACCAGAAATTTCTGAACGCCACTACCCAGACACCTTGCAGCCTACACTTTGCCCACCTGCTCCCTGACAACTATACATGTCCCATGCTTGCAAAGTGTTCTTGTACATCCCTTCCTGTAAATCCAGGGCTCAAACAACCATGTGATGCATTTAAGATTAAAATTCACCATGAAGCTTTGGGATTCAGTTATTGCTGCAAGTCATCTTGTGCTTCAATGCTGCAAAGAGAGCCAATCACTATTTAGCTTCATGATGTTGAACAGCAAGTTTGAAAAAGGTGGCCCCAATGCGAATGACATCTCAGGTGATGAACTAGCAGGTCCTGTGTTTTCCAAATGGTTGTGCCCTCTGTGCTGGCAAGTACTTTTCAGTTGTTACAGTTCTAAAGCAAAGCAGGGGTATGGACCACTAGGCCATTCAATATTGCAGTCTTGGCGCAGGCTAAAGTGCCCCATGACCATCCTCCCTGTCTGGCCAGGCCTGCTTGGTCATCTTTACCACGTGCCCAAAAAAAAGGTGCGCTTTTCAGCGCTACCCGCTTTTCAGCGGTGCCTATGTTTTTACCCTCCCTCCCTCCCTGTGAACTGCTGCTCCAAGTTTTCCATGAAGTAGTCCGAGCCACAGTGCAGGGGGTGGGCACAGGGAAGGGTTGGGATGTGGGCACAGGGAAGGGTTGGGATGTGGGCAGGCAAATGTAACTGTGGGGGGGGGGACATCCTTGGGGAGTGGGAAGTGAGACAGTTGGAGGGCATGTGGCACATGAAGAAAGGACACCTTGGAAGTGGGAGGGTGGGTGGAAGTGGGAGGGTGAGAGGGTGGAAGTGGCATGTTGATGAGGAATGATTGGCATGCCCTGCCCCCCCCCAACCTCAAATCATGGGCAAACACTGGTATCTTAGAATGTTGGTGCCTGTATCTTAGTTCCATTTCTTCTGGTTTTCATGTTAAGCATCGCATGTCAATCACCATCATCAAGTGAGGTTTCTTAGGTCGTTGCTTCAGGCTTGCCAGTTGCTTTCAAAGACTGCTGTTTTTCTTGCCGGTTACCCAACCTTTTTGCGTTTCGCGAGGAAACAGTTCAAACCAGACCCCGAAATGGCGCGCACAGGGCGAATTTGGGGGAATCTCTCACACGTTTTAGGGAATAGGAGTTTCCCGTGTCAGTGATCTAGCCCAAGAGGCAAAAACCACTTACATCGAAGATGCAAGGGGGTAATTTTGTCTGGGGCTGATATGGGTTTGCGCCAAAAGAAAGGCTTCAATAACATTGGGGCTACGGGTGCCCAGCCCCAAATATGGGACTGGGAATTGGAGATTTCTGGGTTCCAAGTTAATCTGCCGGTCACATGACCTTAGGGGTACCTGGACCCTCAAACTATCCTTAACAATGGTGACATTGCCCAAACTGTTGGGGGGGTTGTCAATGAGTACCCTTTCTGGGCCATGGCTTCTGTGGGGCCCACCAATTTGGGGTCGAAAAAAGGGGGTCCATAAAATGGTACCATTTTGGGGTAGGTGCACCACCCATTTTAGTCTATTTTAGTGGGAATTGGGATGTTCACTGGGGGTACGATTTGGATTTTGACCCATGGACATATGTTTGACCAGCCACCATGGGCTAGAGAGGCCCCGCACCAAAAAATCTGGGCCCGGCTTCAGGTGCCACCCTCCAGCAGCAGGCCCTCGCCGCAGCATCCTTCGGCTCCACTGTGGAGGATTCGCATGTTCGGGGGGCCAAGGTTTTTGGAACTTCGGTTGCTGCGTGGTTTCGCTGGTGCCAGAAGACCACCCAAGACGACTCAAAGCGGTGCTCTTCAAAACAAAAAGCAAAATCCGGAAGGCTCCAGGTGCTTGGAGTTCTTCATTGTTAAGAACTCCTTTTCCCTTGAGACGCACAGCCATCTGAAGTGATGCGGCGTTTCCCGAAGCGCACTGAAGGGGGCTTTTGGCATAAATTTAAGACCTTCAAGTTTTCATGAGGTGGCGTGACCAGGTGGTTTGATACCCTTCAGTTGTTTGAGCGAACCTTTAAACTGTTTAGTTGTTTGAACCTCCATTGAAATTTTGTGGTTTAGAGAGGAAGCTAAGGTTATGTAAGGACATGGTAAATTTTGGCTACTTGTAGCTGGGACCCTTGGCTGAACCCGGCCGTGCAACCTCTGATTCACAACTCTCTGATTGTTAGAGCAAATCCCATGCTGCTCGGTCCCTTGGCAGCCATTTCGTGCAGCCGAAGCATCCGCCCTTTTGGGCCGTTTTCAGTCCACAATAGTTTTAGTTTCCCAGAGGTGGTCTCCAGGTGACATGCCAAAAGCTACCAGTTGTGCAATGAAATCAAATTAACAGCAATTCAGCGAAATAACATTCAAGACCACGAGTAAAAGTAATATATTCTCAGCCCAAAACCGAAACCGTTGGATGCTCCCTTGAAATTGAACTACCCCGAGATGCTGTTTGTTTCCCAGCAAACAAATCCTTCTAGCAGGACGTAGCTCACAGTTGCAGGGTTTCAGTTCCAAAGTTGCAGCCGGCACATGGGGAAGCACTGGGAAATTGACATCCTCAAACTTGCCTCTAGATGGTTTAAAGGGACTCCCTCCCCCGGTATTTTTGGCTGGAAATGGAGGAAAGTGTCTTGGTTTCGCATCAAAAGCTGGGGCCTTTTGTTTTTGACCAAGAAGTTCCCTGGTCACGGGTGAGTCGCCAAGCTGGGTGCAGGAGCAGGCGCAGCTTGCTGGACAAGCGGCGGCAGCCGCCAGCAGAGCAGCAGGCATGACAGCAGAAGAAGCTGCGCAAGCGGCCGGAACTGCAGCAGCTGTGATTGCGCAGAGTGCAGGTTTGCCTGCAGAGACGCAGGCCACTCTGGCGGGAGAGGCTGCAGCAAGCGCAGGAAGCACCTACCAGCTAACAGCTGAACAACAGGCATTGGCAGCTGGTGCAGCCGCTGCAACAGCGGCGGCTGCTGCCAACATGACAGCGGGAGATTCTGCACAAGCTGCTGCCGCTGCCACCATTGCTGCAGGCACAGCCACCGGATTGACCGCCGAACAACTCACGGTGCTGGCCGCCGAAGCCGCAGCGGAGGCGGTGAAAGCGCAGGGTGGGTCCGTGCAGCGGCAGGCACAAGCTGCCAGCGCGGCCACCGTTGCAGCTGTTGCCAGCTCAGACTTGACTCCAACCGAGCAAGCACTCACGGCTGCTGCTGCTGTGGCTTCGGCATTGCAAAATTCTACATGCAGAGAAGACATGGTTCGACACGTGGGTGCTACAGCACAAGCAGTTGCCAACACGACGAGCATGAGCGCCGTGGAGCAGGCTGCCACGTCTGGGCAAGCAGCAGCAAATGCAGCAGCGAACTGCAGCATGAGCGCGCCTCTCCAGGCACAGCTGGCCAGTGAAGTAGCAGCGGCCGCAGCGGCAGCTGCCGGTCTCTCCATCGAGCAGCAAGCGCAGCTTGCTGGACAAGCGGCGGCAGCCGCTGGCACAGCAGCAGGCATGACAGCAGAAGAAGCTGCGCAAGCGGCCGGAACAGCAGCTGCTGTGATTGCTCAGAGTGCAGGTTTGCCTGCAGAGAAGCAGGCCACTCTGGCGGGAGAGGCTGCAGCAAGCGCAGGAAGCACCTACCAGCTAACAGCTGAACAACAGGCATTGGCAGCTGGTGCAGCCGCTGCAACAGCGGCGGCTGCTGCCAACGTGACAGTGGAAGATGCTGCACAAGCTGCTGCCGCTGCCACCATTGCTGCAGGTACCGCCAGCGGGTTCGGGTTGACCGCCGTACAACTCACGGTGCTTGCCGCCGAAGCCGCAGTTGAGGCGGTGAAAGCGCAGGGTGGGTCCGTGCAGCAGCAGGCACAAGCTGCCAGCGCGGCCGCCGTTGCAGCTGTTGCCAGCTCAGACTTGACTCCAACCGAGCAAGCGCTCACAGCTGCTGCTGCTGTGGCTTCGGCATTGCAAAATTCTACATGCAGAGAAGACATGGTTCGACACGTGGGTGCCACAGCACAAGCAGTTGCCAACACGACGAGCATGAGCGCCGTGGAGCAGGCTGCCACGTCTGGGCAAGCAGCAGCAAATACAGCAGCGAACTGCAGCATGAGCGCGCCTCTCCAGGCACAACTGGCCAGTGAAGTAGCAGCGGCCGCAGCGGCAGCTGCCGGTCTCTCCATCGAGCAGCAAGCGCAGCTTGCTGGACAAGCGGCTGCAGCCGCCGGCACAGCAGCAGGCATGACAGCAGAAGAAGCTGCGCAAGCGGCCGGAACTGCAGCAGCTGTGATTGCTCAGAGTGCAGGTTTGACTGCAGAGACGCAGGCCACTCTGGCGGGAGAGGCTGCAGCAAGCGCAGGAAGCACCTACCAGCTAACAGCTGAACAACAGGCATTGGCAGCTGGTGCAGCCGCTGCAACAGCGGCGGCTGCTGCCAACATGACAGCGGGAGATTCTGCACAAGCTGCTGCCGCTGCCACCATTGCTGCAGGCACAGCCAGCGGGTTGACCGCCGTACAACACACGGTGCTGGCCGCCGAAGCCGCAGTTGAGGCGGTGAAAGCGCAGGGTGGGTCCGTGCAGCAGCAGGCACAAGCTGCCAGCGCGGCCGCCGTTGCAGCTGTTGCCAGCTCAGACTTGACTCCAACCGAGCAAGCACTCACGGCTGCTGCTGCGGTGTCTTCAGCATTGCAAAATTCTACATGCAGAGAAGACGTGGTTCGACCCGTGGGTGCCACAGCACAAGCAGTTGCCAACACGACGGGCATAAGCGCCGTGGAGCAGGCTGCCACGTCTGGGCAAGCAGCAGCAAATACAGCAACGAACTGCAGCATGAGCGCGCCTCTCCAGGCACAGCTGGCCAGTGAAGCAGCAGCGGCCGCAGCGGCAGCTGCCGGTCTCTCCATCGAGCAGCAAGCGCAGCTTGCTGGACAAGCGGCGGCAGCCGCTGGCACAGCAGCAGGCATGACAGCAGAAGAAGCTGCGCAAGCGGCCGGAACTGCAGCAGCTGTGATTGGTCAGAATGCAGGTTTGACTGCAGAGACGCAGGCCACTCTGGCGGGAGAGGCTGCAGCAAGCGCAGGAAGCACCTACCAGCTAACAGCTGAACAACAGGCATTGGCAGCGGGTGCAGCCGCTGCAACAGCGGCGGCTGCTGCCAACATGACAGCAGAAGCGATTGCCAGTTTCGCATCTTTGGCTGCACCTTGGCTTGACAATAGTATCTAGGCACAGAGACCCGTGGTTTTGCCTTAGCTTTTTGGTGTCTGTTAAGAAAAGGGGAACCCCA